TGTTAAGAGTCTCATATTTTGACAATTTTACAGGATGCTGGAACATTGCTGATACGCAATGCACACCATTTCATTTATCTGCTTTATTCAATCGGGCATCATGGGGCAGGTGCATTATATAGTTCTTACAATATTTAGCTGCTCAAGCTGTCCAAATGTCAGATGAACCGTTAAGATGAATTCAGTAAATGTACACATTTGTTTGGCTACTCTGAATAATATTTGCACGTCAAGGGCCATGTTGAAAGCCTTTCAAGAAAAGCCTTTCCATCTGCATTTAAAGGACACAGACCATTCTTTTGAAGACAACAAAGTCCATATTTTGGACAGAGAGGATCACAGGGGTCCTAAGAGGCCATCTATGTCAAAATTGAACAGCCTTCTCTCAACGGGGGGGGGGGGGGGGGATACGACATCATCTATCTCCAATCTACAACACAGTCCTTTCAACAAATTCCAAGAAGGCTCCACACCAATTTGCACTACTCAGGTGACCCTGATGACACAGATCAACCTTCAGGTGACCTTGATGAGCCACTAAAAGAATGCATATGACCAGCTGTCTGCAAGGAATATAAATCCTTCCATTCTGCCCCATCCAGTCAGAGCTGAAGACGCTTCTTGAATGAGAAGCGAAACGTGTTCAAAGAAAAAAACAGAAAGTCCAGTTGCCTCTTGAAAAAAGCACTTTTGGGACAACCATCACCTGGGATGACTGAGAATCTCCATAGACTTTCAAGAAAAACAATTTTCCAGAACCAATGGAAGTAAAATAATATGAGAAAATATTCACGATCCAGAGGAAGAGAATAATTAACAGATCTGCCCCCATTATTTTAATTAATAATTCCCATTCTCAAAAGTATTAAAATAGTTGGCAACCGCAACCCACAATAAACATTAAAGCATTATAATATCAGCAATTCATGCACTGCTTTGAAATGAACTCAACCTATTTACATTTGTAGCCAAGCCATACATGTACACTTGCCTTCAGAAATCCTGCAAGGGCAGTCAAGCACACAGGACTCAGCACTGACCCAGCAAAGGTGAAAAATATTTCTTTTACAGGAAAAGAGTCAGCCTTAAATTTTCCCAAAAGCCCTGTAAAAATGTTTTGTGAACGGTACTTTTTAAAGGGATACGCTAATAAAAAAAATAATTGGTAAGCATATTAATGTAGGCTTATAGCTGATTTTACTTATATTTTAAGATGTGATACTAATCCCAAATCATTCCTGAACCTTTCCTGGTTATTTACGGGACCGTCTGCTACCACCAATAGCCTCCCACCGACCAGTACGCTCCCATAGAGAGGGGCTTCTCCGGGTGCCGTCGGCCAAACAATGTCGACTGGCAGCCCCCAGGGGGGAGAGCCTTCTCTGTGGGGGCACCTACTATCTGGAACGAGCTCCCCCCAGAGATACGGAGGATCCCGGATCTGCGTACCTTCCATCGCGCGCTCAAGACGTTCTTATTTCATCAAGCTGGCCTGACCTAAATTTTTCCCCTTTTAAATAGAAATTTTAAATTTGGTTTTAAATTATTAGGGTTTTAAATTTGTTCAGCCAAATTATTTAATTTGTTTTATTCTATTTTAAATTTTGTATTTATATGTTTTATTCTATGGCTGTTCACCGCCCTAAGTCCTTCGGGAGTAGGGCGGTATACAAATTCAATAAATAAAATAAATAAATAAAATAAAAGGAGTCAGAAATAAAATATAGTTTTTAAAAATCTGCCTCTACACTGAATCGCCGAAGACTTTTCCAAATTCTTCTGCCTCTGTGGAAGAAGCAGCTCCAATGGTGGAATGCTCATCCTCAAAAAAACTTGCCTATTGTTTAATGTAAAATGTTTGCTCTTTGCCCTTTTCAAGTCTGAAAAGAATTTCTGCATAATGCTATCCTTATGCCCCTAAGGATTGTGGTTCTACTGCACATTTCAAATTTAATTGTTTTACTTTCTTTAGAAAAATATTTACTAACAGCTTGTCTCTCTGTTTCTCTCTCAAAGAGAGGGGGAAGAGATTGAGAATAAATATTGGAAAATTTTAAAAAGTTCATTACATTTATTTTGATTCTGTCAGCATTAACAGTAGGGTGGGGAAAATCATATCTATGCCCTTAAAATAAAAAGAATCACTGTGATAAAATCAGAGAATGTTATCTGCTTCATATATTCTTCTTCCTATATTCAGAAACCAACTAATTCATTCCAAATTTTGCAATCACTTGCTTTTCTTCATATAATAGGAGTTTTCTTCTCATTTCTAATCAGACACAATCACATATATTTTCCACAACTTTTTTCTTCAGCAGCAGGTCAAGAAACAAAATATTTTTTTTATTAATTACAAGAAATATAGGTAACCATTGGGTTACAACAATAATTGGGATGATGATTCAATCATAAAGAGCTATGTCACATGACCATATTACTTAGTGATGGCTATCCTAGCAGTCCTGATTACCGTTGTAACCCCCAGGAAGTAACACAAAGAGGTAGGAGTCCAAGGTAAGGACTACACGATGTCACAAGGAGGTGTGTGTGTGGATGGATTCAGTTACAATGGCAATTCATGTAGCATTGGAAGACAGGATCAAGTTAGGAGGAGAAGAAATGTGTCTATATGGTCACTCTGATGGCACACAATCAATCTCTAGGATCTAGGACTGCATGTAGTCAGAGCTAGAAATATCAAGGATGGAATTTCCTGGTGTTTCCTGTAACACTCTTTTTTTTTCCTTGAATATGCCAATGTCCAGAATACCGTGAACCACTTTCTGGTTTTAAAAAATGTGAACTTAGTAAATAGAAATCTATCAACTATCCTTATAGAACGTTAAGATCTGCATTCTAGGCTTTAAAAAAAAAATCACCACCCCAGGGAAGTCTGAAACTTTCTGTCCCTGGACTGTTAATTTTTGTTTGCAATCATGTTGAACTTTCAATTACGATTGTGGGGGAGAGGGGGGAAATCACAGAAATGATTGCCTGTCTCTTATTGCTTTGTTTATTTTAATCAATTTATATGATCATCACTATAGCACAATGGCAACTCTGAGAAGCTAACAGAAACTACAACTGCAATCAATAGTAATACATATAAATAGTGACAACCAAGGACAGCATAAATTGTTTGCAGAGGATACATCAGTCTCACAGATCAAATTAACCTCTCAACCTCTGTACCCAGGAAAAGAGCCACATTTTTACAGCTTTCCAAAATCTCAGAAGGGATGGAGCCAACTGAATCTCTTGAGGCACGATCACACAAAAGATGCAGGATACATCTTAAAATAGGATTAGCATTGTTTTTTTTAAAAAAAAAAATCTTCCCAATCCGAGGAAAAACAAGAAATCCTGGCCCTGCAACCAAGTTTGACATTTCCCTGCTGATTGTCGATTTCTTTCCTCAAATGTTAAGCACAATTCCCATCTACAAAAAGGATGCTTACCTGAATTGATGTAGGGTTTTCCACTGTTTCTTCTTCTGATTGTTCTTTCTTCGCCTTCCAAGTCTGCTCAGGGTTAGAAGATTGTGCAACAGGCGCTTCCACCCATTCTTCTGATGAACCCTAAGAACATATTTTCAAATAATCATATGTGTTTTAGAGGATTGTAGGGGCCTTTAACACTCAATGAAACAATATAAAAGTCATTTAAAAACCTATTTCCTTTTCTATACAAATAAGAGAGTTATCTTAGCTATCCAGAAAGAAAGAATAAAGGGACTATTATAACATTATAATAGTCTTATTGGCGGCTGCAGCTCTTTAAATGTAAGAGCTGGGCAATCAGATAAAAAGTAACTACTGTAAGTACAGCTGATATTTATTACAGTCACTTTTCCCCACTGAAAATAGGCCACCAATTTGTTCACTGGGGTACTATTATTAATAATAGAGAGCTACATAAAAAGACAGCTTGTTCACTCTCAAAAGACTTTTCAAAGGAATTAGTTTTGCAGTCTTTCTGTTATAAATAACCACTTAAAATGCTAAAATAAAGCCAACACATTTTCACAGATGGAAGTCATGCGATCAGCAGAACTTGTGGGAATGATGAGAAGAGGCAACAATATAGCCTATGCATAATAACACAATTAGAAGAAAAACCCAAATGAAGTGCAGACAACAGAATTGTGAACGGCACTTGCTTCAAGTGACATAATCGACCTTGGTCATAAGCAGATCTATAGTTTAAGAAAAAGCATGCAGCCACCAGATATAAAACACTACTCTGTTATCAAACCAGCTAATCCAACTGCGCATCAGGGACTTGAAATCCAATACTATTTGAAGTTTACTATATTATAGAAGGCTGGGAGATTTTCTACCATTGGAGAATCTTAAGCTAAATTTGTAAAATTGTGCAGAGCATATCTAGTAATAGTATAGAATAAAGTCCAAATAACATTGCTGTCAAGTATTGCAATGAACAGCATCAATAGAAGCAATAATGAGACAAACAAGTTCATATTTAACCTTTTAAGCAGGCCAATATTCAGTATTCTGTGTCTAATGATACATTATTACCCATACTGAATGCATGTAGCACTATGATAAAAGACCCAGCAGCTGAAATCTGGCTCTTTCTACAACGTGCTTTCTATTTTTTCCATATTACATCATATGTATGCTTCAAAATGAACGTTCATTTCACTATCTGTTCAGCCCACTTTCTTAATACAGGTGGAATTTTCTTCCCCTGACCTAATGGCCTATTTCCATGCTTATCATTTTTTTAAAAAAAATTAAATTAAATTAAATTAAATTAAATTAAATTAATCAAATCAAATCAAATCAAATCAAATCAAATTATTGGATATTGATCAAACTAATATTGATCAAATTGGATATTGGATATTGATCAAACTAAGGCCTAAGTATAATCACTAATATAGGCAACAAGAGCTTTCTCTCAGCTGGCGACTTGGATTTTAAAACTTACAGAGGTAGTATCAGATGAATCATCTGTTTTTTCTCTTTTAGTCTTTTTCTTCTTCTTTTCCTTTTTATATTTTTTTGAATGCTTCTTCTTTGTAACAGCATGTTCCTACAAAAAGCAACATTTCTATCAATCTGACAAGCCACATAACTAGAATTAGGAAATTACATGGTATTTTATTATTTTTAAATCATCACCTTGCTAAAAATGTCCCAGGATACTTTGCTTAATGGTTTCTCTTATTATATATCACACCCAAAGCTTCCTGATAGAAAGATACTAGCATGTGTTAGAAAGATACGTATAAAAGATGTATTCTACAACAGAGTTGATTTTACAAAGCTACAATTATTATTATTGCCAGCCCAGTGAAATTTTACTTGATTAAGCAACATGTCTGTTCTTCATTTGACATAACCATCGTTGATTCAATTCACTGATTAATGACAAAAAAGATACCACAATCTCAAATTACTGTAGGTATCTTTTCTATGTGTGAAACTAAGTGATAATCTGACTCTCAGATGATTTGCTCTCAGCTGTTTTGCACAAGGCTCTGCTGCTTGCTGCAAAGAGGTAAATTGCTGGGGCAGATTTTTTTTTTTCCTTGTGCTAATCAAGCTATGCTGAAAACGGAAATGAAAGTAAAGCAGGCTGTTTGCTGCAACGAGGCAAAATTGCTCAGAGGCAGAGGGAGATATCTTTTTCTTCTTTTCCTCACCAAAAAAGGTAGGTGCGTCTTATACTCCGGTGCGTTTTATACTCCGAAAAATATGGTAGGTGAAGCTGGGAATGGGGCCCCCTAGCCATGATTTTTACCTGCTGATCCAGGAGAAGCTGTAAGACCAAAATGTTCTCCAAGTTGCAGGTCTAGCCTCTGAAAGATAGGAATACCTTTGGTGGCATCAGTATCTACCTGGTTCAGCCTCTAAGCACCAGGAAAGGATGCTGATACCTCTCCTTCATGACTCAACATAACAATGTACAATTGGGTATCTTCAGCATATTGATATTAAACTCTGAAATATCAAATGACCTCTCCTGACAGGTTCATACAGATGATAAAAAGTAAGGGAGACATGGCCAATCTCTAAAGCAATGCACAAAACAGGGGCCAACAGCACTGTTCTTCTCCCAACAGCACTGATTAGCACCATCCACCGAGGAAGGAACAATGCCTCTTAACCCCAACCCCCACAGATGGTCCAAGAGGACACTACTAAGACCAGAATAGGTGCCCAGCCTGTGGAACAATCTCCCCTGAGATCCAGAAAGCCTCAACCCTGGTTTTTCTTTAAGTGCTAGGGCCAAGCACTAGGGCCAAGAGCCTGATATGTGAATGTTTTGGATGAGCTGTTTAAGAGTTGCCTGGGTTCTTATATAGTTATTTCATTTGCTTTTAATTGTATTTTTGTTGCTTGATTATTTGGGAGGGGTTAGGCTCCCATTAGGAACCAGTTTAAGCCTCAGGCTAGAAACTGGGAGAGTATGAGCTCTAGTCCCAACAAAGGCATAAAGCCATTTGGCTCACCTTAGGTCACTACCTCTCTTTCAGCCCTAGGAAGCAGGCAATGGAAACCCATTTCTGAAATCTTTCCAAAAAAACTGCAGGGATGTGTCGAGGCAGTCATCAAGAGTCAAGTCTGATTTGAAGGCAACACCATTAAAAAAAAAAAACAAACCTCTACATTGAGATGAACATATTTCATATAATGTAGCTAGTGGCAAGTCCACTACTGGTATATTAAGACATGAGAACTACTACAGCAGGAGTGTCAAACTCAAAGCCCGTGGGCCAGATGTGGCCCACGGGGTGTTTAAATCTGGCCCACGGGGCCAGCCTGAAATAACAAAGGACCATCCCGCAGTGCCTCTGCTACCGAAAATGGGGCACGGGTGGGCTGCGGGCAGCCCTCTGTGCCCCATTTTGGCCAGCAGGGTGCTGCAGGCGGCCATCCAGACTAAAAACGGGGCACACAGGGGCTGCCCACGGCCCCCCGTGCCCCATTTTGGCCAGCAAGGTGCTGCAACAGGCCATCCGTCCCGCCTTCTCCCCCCCCACCCCGGCTGGCCTGCAGGACTACAAATGCTGATCCAGCCCACCAAGAAATCCAATATGACACATCTGTGCTACAGTATATTGGATTTTGCATATTCCTTCTAGTTCTGTTCATACTTCTGCCCCATTTCAACTACTACACCAGCAGAACTGTGCCACTGTAAAATATATACTGTTATTACCCACACTGTTATGGTGGAATGAAAAACTCCTATCACATTCTTTATAATTATAAATGAAGTTCATGATTATGCTCTGTTTTATTTGAAATTCTATTCTATTAATTATATATTATTAAATATTATATATTGTTATGTTATGTTATGTTATGTTATGTTATGTTATGTTATGTTATGTTATGTTATGTTATGCTATGCTATGCTATGCTATGCTATGCTATGCTATGCTATGCTATGCTATGCTATGCTATGCTATGCTATGCTATGCTATGCTATGCTATTTAAATAAAGTGTCATCTTCAGAACCACTTATTTGGGACAGGAGGGGATTATATGTCCTCCCGAACAGCAAATCAAATACATCAAGGAAAGCAATGGGAAGGAGGTAATCATTGCTTGATAATAACCTTAGATAAAAGTAGAGGTCAACATAATTTTGCTTTGGCAAATTATCTCACCCCTGTTTCTTACACTTCTGCAGAGTCTGTCACTGCCAAATACAGAGTTAAACTGTTTATGCTTTTTACCAGGATTACTCTGGTCAGGTTGTTCCTGGCTGCAAATGTGCACTAGGACTAGGAATCACAACCATGCGTATATGCAGCCCTAGGGAAGGAAGAGGGTTGCTGTAAGCACACACAGAAAAGCTCTGGATAATCACTTTCACTACTTGCAACAGGTTTTCTTTCAGGTAACCCTTCATTTCCTGCTCAGGACCTTTCAGCTGCTTTTCTCCATTTTTCCTTCTTTATTAGCTCCAGCCACCAGTGAAGTGGGAAATGTTATGTAGAGTCGGGGACAATTATATAACATTCATCATAATGTTTTAAGACATATGACTGAAGCAGCACAGAAGCATTTGGGATAAAGACAAGGCATAATTTTCTACTCTTCTCTTTCAGATGAGTGCTTGTGAGATTTTTTTTTTTTTCCTTTATTATATCGGTGAATATTGTTTCCCCTAGCTCCCCCCCTCATTTTCTGCTTCTGAATTTATCTCTGTTTTAGAGAATGACATTTAGCAATTTATGGAGATCTGTCTTTATACTATTTCCCGTTCTCATTCTCTTTCTTTCTTTAGCATCCTTTTTCTTCTCTTATATTGAAGCATTGGTGAACTGGTTTTTTTTTTTTTCTTTTTAAACTCTGGACTCTTTGCAAAGAAGCAAGCTTGGATTGCCGTTTTCCTCATTACCAGCTGTGGTGGCAATGCAGAAGGCCATTGTTATTTTGAGGAGTTTAGTGACGTATTTTGATTTTTCCCCCCCTTCATATTAAGAAAAGTCTAGCAGTTTAGAGCTCATTTGCGGGACCGCCTTCTGCCGCCGATAGCCTCCCAACGACCAGTAAGCTCCCACAGAGAGGGACTCCTCAGGGTGCCGTCAGCCAGGCAATGTCGACTGGCAACCCCCAGGGGGAGGGCCTTTTCTGTGGCAGCTCCTGCCCTCTGGAACGATTTGCCCCCGGAGATACGAAGGATATCGGATCTCCGGGTCTTTCGCCGTGCCCTAAAAACTTTTTTTTTCCATCAAGCAGGGCTGGCGTGAACCCCCCCCCCTTTTTTTTTTTTTAGCTTTTTAAATTGTCAATGGGTTTTAGTTTGAATGTTTTAAATTCTGGGCCAAAGTCATGTAATTCTTTTAATAATTTTAAATTTTGTATTGGTATGTGTTTTAGTTCTGGCTGTGCACCCCCCTGAGTCCACTAGGAGAAGGGCGGTATACAAATTGAATAAAATAAATAAATAAATAAAATTCTGAGCTAGCCTGCTTGTTTTTTACTCTTGCTTGCTGAATAAAAGGGGAGGGGGGGATCTTCACATAGTTTCAAAGTTGTGAAAGTCTCAAGAGTTTCAATTCCCATCCAGAAGTCATGTTCCAGTCAAAGTCAGGTCTTGCAGTCTCCTGACCATAGCAGGGTTATGAAGCAGGTTTTGAAACAGGTTGGGTTTTTTTGGGGGGGGGGTTGTGTTGTGGGGAGCTTCTACATGGAACCTAGCATTAGGTACTAGAGAAAATGGCCTCACCTGGGTCATTTCTGCTATCGTTAGTAAGGTGCTCTTAGCAGCTTATAAGAGGCGACTGATTCTTTTGGCTCCAAAGACAATGCCTCTCCTGCCTCAGGGAAAGGCAATAGTTCAAATAACCTGGCCCATGCCATGTATTGGCTTTATAGCAATAGCACTTAGACTTATATATCACTTTACAGGGCTTTACAGCCCTCTCTAAGTGGTTTACAGAGTCAGCCTATTGCCCCCACTGGGTCCCAACAATCTGGGTCCTCATTTTACCCACCTCGGAAGGATGGAAGGCGGAGTCAACCTTGAGCCCGGTGAGACTTGAACTGCCAAATTTCAGTCAGCCGGCAGTCAGCAGAATGGTCGTTGCTTACCTGAACGACCCTTTTATACTCGACGTTCAGACACTCCTCAGTCTGGGTTACGATCACTCCTATTTGCACAGCTGAGTGTCAATCAAATCCCTCTGGAGCTGCATCCTCCTCTCTTCCTGCTTCCTCCTCAGACTTTTCACGAAGACAACTTGGCTCAATAGCAGCAGGATCGACCATTAGAAACTCCATCAGGTAGACACACAGGAAGCAGACAGCTACAGAGGGAGAAAAAGCAGACCTCCACCAAAGCCAGGCACGGCCAAGAAAGGGAGGGACGGAGTGTCTGAACGTCGAGTATAAAAGGGTCGTTCAGGTAAGCAACGACCATTTTCCTACTCGCCGTTCAGACACTCCTCAGTCTGGGACATACCCAAGTTAGAAAGAAAAGGGAGGGAATTAAGCCGTAGACTGGCCCTGTGGAGAGATTACAGCTTGCAATACCCTTCTGCCAAAGGCAGCATCTGCAGAAGCAAACTTATCCAGCCTATAGTGACTTACAAAGGATGAAAGGGAAGACCATGTGGCCGCCCGGCAAATATCATCTACCGAAGCCTGGGTAGCCCAAGCCGCAGAGGTTGCGGCGCTACGGGTAGAATGGGGCAATATACCACCCGGGACAGGGGCCTCTCTTAAGTCATATGCCTTAGAAATACAGGCTTTGAGCCACCTTCCTACTGTGGTTGAAGAAACCTTCTGACCCAGGGAAGAGGGAAGGAAGGACACCAACAGAGCCTCAGTCTTTCGAAAAGGGGCAGTCCTTTTAAGATATCTTCTCAATGCCCGTCTCACATCTAGAGTATGCCACCGCTTCTCAGCAGGATGACGCGGGTTCGGGCAAAAGTTAGGCAAGACGAGTTCTTGGGCTCGATGAAAACGAGTATTCACTTTGGGAACGAAAGCCGGGTCGAGGCGTAGAACAACCCGGTCAGGATAGAAGATGCAGAGATCACTTCTCATGGACAAGGCAGCAATTTCGGATACTCTGCGCGCTGAAGTTATTGCTAACAAAAAGGCCATTTTTAAAGACAAGTAGCGTAGACTGGACGAAGCGATGGGTTCGAACGGTGGACCCGTTAAGGCCTGTAACACCAAGGTAAGGTCCCAAGTGGGGTAGCGATGAATCGGTGGAGGCCGCAAGTTTGAGACCCCTTGGAGGAAGGAACGGATCCTGGGGTCCTGAGACAAAGGAACACGAGATTCTCCTGACAGGACAGTGGCTAGAGCCGCCACCTGTCGGCGTAGAGTCGCGGGGGCCAAGCCCTTGGAGAAACCCGCATGCAGAAAACACAGAATGTCCGGAACAGAAGCAGTTGTGGGGTCTACGTGATGATCCCCGCACCATCTCGTGAAGGCAGTCCATGAGGCGTTATAAATACGAATCGTTGATGGCCTTCGAGCTGCCTGAATGATGGAGATAACATCGTCAGACAAATTGTCCTTGATGAGCTTTATGCGCTCAAATGCCACACGGCTAATCGAAGCCATTCTGGTTCCGGATGACGGATGGCTCCTTGAGTCAGTATTATCTTGTCTGGTGGAATCCTCCACGGTGGTTCGACTGATAAGTTCTTGAGGTCGGCGAACCACTCTCGACGGGGCCAATACGGTGCTACTAGTAGAAGGTTCGCCCGTTCGTGAATGACCTTCCGCACTACCTTGGAGATGATAGGAAGGGGAGGGAAGGCATAAAGAAGGCCCCGGGGCCACTGACTCCGAAGAGCATCCAGCCCCTCCGCTGCTGGACATGGATAGCGGGAGAAGAATCTCGGCAATTGGGTGTTCTGAGCCGTCGCAAACAGGTCCACTAGGGGAAGGCCGAACCTCCTGGACAGGTCCTGGAACAAGCTGGGGTCTAACTTCCACTTGGCGTGATCTATTTGGTCTCTGCTGAGCCAATCTGCTTCTCGATTGAGAGTCCCCGAGATGTGTTTGGCTTTTATCGACGAGAGGTGGAGCTCCGCCCATGACAGAAGACGCTCCGTCTCCTGCATCAGTGTCCAGGAGCGGGTCCCCCCTTGTTTGTTGATATGGGCCTTGGTGGCCACATTGTCCGTTAGAATCAGAAGGTCCTGGCGATATACAAGGCGTTTGAAGTGTATCAGGGCGAGACGGACCGCTCTGAGCTCTAGCCAATTTATATTGTGCAGCTTTTCCGCCGATGACCAGGCACCTTGGGCTAGCTGACGGTCGAGGTGAGCCCCCCAGCCTCGCAGACTTGCGTCCGTGGTCAACACCATCCGAGCTGGTTCGAGAAAGGGAGAACCCTTGTTGAGGGCCGGAGACAGCCACCACCTCAGGGAAAGGCGAACTGGAGCTGGAACCTTTACCTTGAGAAGAGACTCCGCTCGACCTTGTCTCTGGTAAGGGAGCAGGAACCATTGGAGGCGACGAAGATGGAAACGCGCCCACGGAACAATGTCTATGCAAGATATCAACTTCCCCAGAAGCTGGGAGAGAGACAGTAAGGTCACAGTCCGGTGTAGTAAGACTTGAGATGTCAGTTCCCGAATGCTGGCTTGTCTGTCGGGAGATAGGGAGACCACACACAGTGCCGAATCTATTGTAGCTCCGAGATGTAGGATACTCGATGTGGGAATAAGATGGCTTTTGGCAAGATTCAAAGTGAACCCGTGGTTTTGGAGGGACTGAAGTACTAGCTCCCGGTCCTGGGTCGCCTGTTCGGGAGAAGACGACAGGATCAAAATGTCGTCGAGGTAGCATGCCAGACGAACAGGAACCTTTCTGAGCGACGCCGCTACTGCCGCTAGCAACTTTGTAAACGTCCTCGGAGCGGACGAAAGGCCGAAAGGCATCGCCCGATATTGAAAATGGTGGTCTCCAAACGCAAACCGGAGGAACTTCCTGTGCGACTGATGAATAGGGACGTGCAGGTACGCTTCCTTTAGATCTACAGATTGCATCAGATCTCCCCGACGAATGCAGCCCAGCAGAGACTTGAGGGAATGCATTTTGAACCGACGGTACAAAATGTGTTGATTGAGACGTCGAAGGTTCAAAATACCTCTCCAATCGCCCGAGGATTTCGGTACCAGGAATAGTGTTGAATAAAAGCCGGTTTTGAGTTGATCCAATGGAACCTGTTCTATAGCCTGGATTTGCAACAGATGGTGAATTTCGAGTAATAGAAGAGATCGCTTCTCCGGCTGAAGTGGCCAAGGGCATTGAAGGTAAAAGTCCTGTGGCATGTTGGTGAATTCCAAACGTAACCCTTCGGTGACAGTTTGGACAATCCAGGCATCCGAGGTGGTAGATGGCCACAGGTGAGAGAATGCCTGGAGCCTGCCCCCGATTGGGACCAGAGGCGGTGAGTCACTTACCGCGCCTGGAAAAGCGGCCCGCCGACTGTCTGAAAGGTCGCCTGAAGTTGGATTGTCGGCGACCGCGGTCACGAAAGGGCGCCCTGTCCGAAGTTGACTGGTACTGGGACTGCGAAGATCTGTAGTAAGAGGCGCCCCCGGCGCCTTGGTCTTGGCGAAAAGGCTGTCGATTATAAGGAACATAGCGCCTGTCCTGACGTCGGAAAGACGTGGGTAACACCTTCTTCTTATCCCTATTCTCGACCAGCACAGAGGGATGAGCCAAATAAGGCAGGGCCCTTGTAAGGGGCAGCAGTCAAGCGCCATTTGGACTTGGCGTCAGCTCTCCAGTTACGGAGCCACAAGAGACATCTTGAAGATACAGTCGAAGCTAAGGCCCTGGAAGCGAACTTAGCTGCGTCTAAAGACGCGTCAGCCGAATATTCAGCAGCTGCGACCAGTTTGGCCAGGTCCTGCTGTAATCGTGCATCCTCCGGGGGAAGCCTGTCCTTCAATTGACGCAACCACACCAGCGATGCCCGATTAAAGAATGATGAGGAGGTTGCAGCACGAATGGCCCAAGCTGCCGCTTGGTGTGTTTTACGAAATCCCATTTCGGCTCGTTTGTCCTCAAACTTGAGACCATCCCCAGCCTCACCTACCAGGATGGAAGACGATGTGAGACTCGCCACCGGATCATCAATTGAAGGTAACTGCAGGAGGGCATCCAGCGCAGGAGCCGAGGCATAAAGCTTTCGATCAAATGAATTCGGGCCCGACAACGAGGCGGGGCGGTCCCAAGGCTTTTGAACAACCTGGCAGAAAAGATCCGGACAGGGAACAAAGTCCTCATCAGGTTGAGGTAGATTGAACAAGTTACTGTTGGGGCCAGATGGAGTAGAAGAAGAGGAGCCCTGAAGAGGTGTGGAATCCATATTAGTGGCAGCTTTTGCCTTGCGTAGGAGAGAGCGAAACAAGGAAGGCTTAAATAGACCCGGAAAAGCCGGCTTGTCCTGAATCTCTTCTTCATCCTCTGACATCTCAAAATCTTCTAGGAAATCGTCCTCCCGGGCTGATTCAGGCACAAGGCTACAGGCAACAGATTGCTGCTGAAGTTGTGCACCAGGGGGATGCATGGAAAAGGCAGAAGTAGTGGGGCACGTAGGAGCAGAGAAGGCACCAGAGGCTTGCTGCAACCCCATTTGATACATATGGGACATGGCCTGGGTAAAAAAGGACTGAAAATCCACAGGCTGAGGGAACCCTGGGCCCGCTTCAGGGCGGAGGCCAGCTGCAGTGGGTGTAAAAGTAGCTTCAGGACCTGGCCTAGAAGCTTGAGAAAAAATGGCTTGCAAAACTAGAGGAGCGGGACCTTACACTGGCCCTTGGCATTGGAGCCTCCTGAGAGGTTGAGGGGCCATCCTCCCTCAGACCACTGGGCAACAAATCTACATTATGAGAGGCCGAGGGCTCACAGGTCACCTCATGGCTCAAGCCTTCAGGAATTGGTCCTTGACCAGGGTCCTGGGCCCGTTGCCTAGCCTTATCAAACTGCTTTTCTAATGCTTTATGCCTCCTTTGGGCATCTTTATCTACTGTGGCAGATTTGGAGGACTTAGCCTGCCTGGTAGCCTTAGATTTCTTCCCCCTGAGCTGTTTAGGGGAAGGTACTGGGGAGGGGGAGGGACTCCTGTCCATATCAGAAGAAAGAGCACCTTCCTCCCTGTCATCCATAATCAATCACCCCAATAAATTATTAATTAATTAATGAATTAATTGTAAATAGAACTTATCAATTCTATATATATGATAGTATATTGGTAATAGAAATTGTAATATATATATCTATATGCTCTTATATAATTATTATTATTATTATTATTTATATATATATTTTAATTGTAATAAATGCAAGAAAAATCTACAAGCACAACCAGTCTATCAAGATAACCAGGCAACCGCCCCCTATTTTTTATTTTTTATTTTAATTAAGAATGTAAATTAATTTAAGCAATGTGTACTTCCCTGAACCTTCAGGCACCCCTCTGCAGGCCGTTGTGAATTGCAGGTACGATCAGGACAGCGTCCCCACCTGCCAGCAACCTAGCGACCCTGGAAACCAAAGCCCAGGTCGCTATGGCCACGGAGATCCAAAAACGTTGCCGATGATCAGGGCTCAAAATGGCGGCCCGCGAGGGGAAATTCCAGAAGTCCTGAGCCAGGCGAAACACAGCGCCTGCGGCCGGACTGAAGCTGCAGCAAAAGAGCAGTCACAATTCTCAAAGGCAGCTGATGAGTATGCCAGCCGGCAGGGACTCAAGCCGCTCGATCAAATGGCCACTAAGGCAAACCGGAGCCTCGCAAAGTGACTGGCAGCAAAATGGCGGCAATGGCGGCAATGGCGGGAAAACCGTTAGAAATAAAGCGCCAGCCAAGCCAAGCCGCAAGCGGCGGCCGGAGCCCCGAACCGCCGCTACGCGCTTTAACCTTTTCCAGACGAAGGCAAACGAAGCGCAGCACTTTTAGACAGTAAATAAACAATATTTAGCCAATTCAGAAAGAAATAAGTAAATTAAGAACGAAATGCAATCAAGAGAACAGACACTCGATGCTATTGCAATGGCTGAGTGAAAAAGTCTGAGGAAGAAGCAGGAAGAGAGGAGGATGCAGCTCCAGAGGGATTTGATTGACACTCAGCTGTGCAAATAGGAGTGATCGTAACCCAGACTGAGGAGTGTCTGAACGGCGAGTAGGAAAAGTAGCCTGCAGTACTGCACTCTAGCCACTGCGCCACTGTGGCTCACTTGATAGGTCATTTCCAGCACCCTGAATTGAAACTAGAAGCATAGTGGCAACCAATGCTGCTCACATAGCAGAGGTATAACATGTGCTGGTTAAAGAACCCATGTAACTGCCCACACCAATTATGGGTTCCTGATGCTCTTCAAGGACAACCCCTTATAGTATTTTAACATTACATTATAGCATTGGAGTCATCCATTCTGGAAGTGATCAGTCTATGAGTGACTGAAAGCAAATGTGAACAACTGGAAATACAATCTGAAACTGACCAAGGTCAACCTAGCCACAACTGCCACTCCTAGTCACTACTTGATTTATTGTTCTAGGCTTCCTTGCAGAGCAGATGCTATAGGTCAAGGGTCTTGCAGAGCAGATGCTATAGGTCAACTGGCAGCCCACGGGCCGGATGCGTCACATGCAGGCCACGCCCACCCCAACTCCGCGAAGGGAAAAAACATCACTATGCATCATGTGACGGCAATGTGACATGGCGAGTTAGACACTCATGTTATAGGTATATGTCTTGGTTGCCCCGTGTCTACATTATTTTAACAGTTTCTAATTTTCTCTCCTTCCTCTGAACTTGCTCCAGAACAGTTTATCTTGGCTATTCCAATCTTTTCACCTTATTCTCATATGTCAGTATAGTGCAGAGCTCCTCACTGGATCCTAATTGGTAGGTGTACTTAAGAGGTTTCCCAATATCCATCTATCCTTTTGTTCATTTTTTACATTTCTCCAATTCTCACTCTACTTTCAGTTTCTCACTACTAGGTGGCTGTGAGTTCCAGGCCTTTCGGGAGGTTGCCAGTGATTCATCTTCCTCTATATCTCTATATAGAAATTTGATAACTTTTTAAAAAGGTTTTAACATATTTTTAATTTAATTAACAGTTTAGAGGCAGAGGGTCTGACTATTGCAGATTAATACCTTTGTTAAATCATTAGGTAAATATCCTCTGCAGTATCCCCAGCTTATTGTTTCAACTGGATTGTGTTGATCCTTTACTGCTAATATTTGTTTACTAGATTCAAAGCTAGTAAACAAATAATCTTATTTAATTATTGGCGGCAATTTTGTACAATGCCTTGATAAGAACATGTAATAATTACATTGTCATTATCTATGCTGAACCTCAGTTCAACATTTCACAATTATTTCTTCCATTTGCTTTTGTGTTCCAGACTTTGTTTTTAAATTCATTCAAATTTCTTTCCAAAAACCTATTTATTTTTTGCTAACCCAGCAGAATATTGGTTTCTTGGGACTTTGATTGAATTTGGCTTGTACTGCCTATTATTCCATTTTGAAGCACTTGCCTCATTTTGTTTTTTCTATAAATTCATTAAGTTAAAACCTGAAATTTTAGTGAGCATATATTTGAACTACTTAACAGCTGGTCCTCCTGGATTCTTAAATTTACCTCAGAGGATTTTTTTTCCCCCTATGATTACAGAAAGATGATGAATGAAAAGCATGTCAGTGATGGTACTAACAATGCAGTCATTTCCGCATCATCTGTTTTTAATTGAATTAAGCAATACTTTGATATTATTTTTAAATGACTGTTACCTGTTGAGCATACTAGAATGGAAACAAGTGGGCAAATCTTTTGCTTATTCTCAAATTAAAAATGATTGCAATGGCAGTATCAGCAATGCCTTTTAAAACATGGCTTGCCCATAATTAATATATTGCCCATTGCAAATATTTATTAGTCGACATCACAAGCCCTACCTTTTTCATTTCTTCTAAACGCTCGTTCACATCATTCAGCATCCAAGTATCTTCCCCTCTCAATCGCTTCAGTTCCTTGCGTCTTTCATCTTTTTCATAATTAGCTTTTGCCTAAAGTGGAAAAAAGGACATGGATAATGCAGCAAATTGCAAATATGTGTATAAAGTAATGCTTAGCTCTTCAGTGAAATACTCCATTTGGAATAAATCAGTGATGCTCCATTATATCTCAGAGATACTTGATTATGCTAAATCAATGAAGCATAAGACTAGCCGGAGAGTTTTAAAAGAAAAAGAATTATAGTGAACTTAATTTTGCTACTAAAAGCTGTTATAAGATCTGGGAAGTATAATACGCCTATGAATGCTGATGGGAAACAAAATTGAATTCCAAAACCTACAGTAAATCATCCCA